ATGATTTTCGATAGCAATAGACAGGGGGTCGAGGTATGTTTTTGTCCAATTTCTCAAATTATGAATATATTTTGCCGGAAATTAAGCATATGCCTTCGGAAGACTGTTTGTTTGTTTGAATGTTGTTTAACGTCCCTCTCCAGAATTTTTCACTCATATGGAGACGTCACCACTTGCCGGTGGAGAGTTGCAAATTTTGACCTATGCTCGGCACTCAAGGTCATTGAGAAGTGAGGGATCTTTTTGGTGCCAGAACCTACTGAGACACGGGACCTCGGTTTATACGGTCTCATCCAAAAGACCGGTCTCCACGTTCCACAGTGGGATTCGAACCCGCGACGTAAGGATCAACTCCATACTTCGCAACTCTAGAACAGACGCTCTAACCACTGCGCCACGCGGGCGACTGCCTTCGGAAGACGGAAAAAAACATTATCTACAGAGTATAAGGTTTATACCTATGAATCCACTATACACTTTCTAGTTTTATCAAACACCTCATCACAATTCTGAGGATCAGAACAAGATTGATGCTACATTGTGTTTATGATGAAATACCAGAACAAGGCTTCGCTTTATCATCACTTTCATATATAAATTCAATTTTTGTCTGTCATTAAGAAACAGTTCGAATTTAAAGATATTGACAAAAAATCAATGTTGTGCCCGGGCTGTTTACAGCCTGTTGGACCCTTTGTGTATATCGATTTTTTTTTATTTGTATAATCATGCACTTATTTAACCCTGAAAAAAACGCCGTATATTACACAAAGCCTTTTGATGAGGTCAATCTTATATGGACCTTAGACATCGTGCAGGTACGAAGTGCAAGGTCAATATGCTTTCCCTAAGGTCTATATATCTAGGGATTTTATCGAAACAAAAATCTATATTTGTTTTATAATTTTTTTTTTCTTATCAGTAAAGAAGTAGGTACCCCATAAGATATCGTTGGTTATGGTTAAATTTACACTATAAATGTATATATATTAACTGGTTATTGGTAAATACACTCACAGTTTTTCACTCACGAGGGTGGAGCCCTGAGTGAATAAAAACTGAGTGTATTTACCGGTAACCAATTGATGAAATATCGTGATAACGAACATTCAAGTTCAAAGTCCAATTAAAAAATGCAGATCGGGAGCAGAGGAAAGAGGGGCCTCCTAAAATATCACCGGTTTGGATCAGGTGCCATGAAGGAGTGAGCATCCCCTGCCAACCGGTCACACCCGCCGTGCATGTGCTCCTTGTCATGATCGGGAAAAAACGGAAAAATCTGCAGACAATTCAGTGTGTGAATAATGGCCTAACAAATAGTCAAACGCCAGTCAGCATTTGATTTAATGACCAATAAGATGAAAGCTGGTTGATAATTAGCATCGGCTAATACATCCTGTTAAGCCAAGAGAATGATGAGAATTCGAGATAAAACAGGATATGCTGAGTAAAAATACGAAGCAAATATCAACAAACTAATGTTAGTACTCTTGAAATACTAAATTCATTCATCAGCCATTGCCATGGCCTGGAAATTAACATAATGACTTCTATAAAATCCCAGTCCTGAAATCCTGAACATGCAGCAGACTGGCTTCAATAAATATCTAAGTCACTTCAAAGCTACTGCACAATCAACCTCTAGACAACACTGGCTTTTAATATCGTTCAGTCATTTCATACTAATCTAATGCTCTTGCAGATCCAATTGTAGACAATGCTGGAGTTACATATAAAATTCTCCATCCTGAACTAATGCTAATGCCAAAAAGCATTGTGAATATCTTCATTTCTTTTTGTTATCCAATCAATCATCTATGATTAAGTACGTAACATGTATTTATAGTGTCTATTGATATAGTATTCAAGTTATTTTTCAATATTTAAAATGATTAAATAAGTGATGATATAAAAGGAGTGTACATAGGAATATGATGAGGATAATTATCACAGTCTGTTTCAGACTACATTAACTCTCACACACTCACAGTAAAACTGAGCATGGAATGTTTTAAGATAAGAGAGTGTGGAACATCTTATAGTTCAAGGTAATGTAACATCCAAATCATTTTCTATGGTAGTACAAGATCCAACTTTGACAGAATATTTCAATTACAGTCCTGGAACACCCTTTGGTAAAAGTTACCAGTAGTTCAATCTGAATTTTACAATATATTTTACAATTGTTATATAGTTTCATTTTAACAATAAATTTGTTTCTACACTATGACTCCATGCAGCATTACCACCCATGATCTTTTCCAGTAGGTACTTTTACCCTGTGCAGATTTTTGTTAAACACTCAAAATAATAATACACTTAAACTTAATCTACATTCCATGAGAAAACCTTTTTTCTATAAAAATAAGAATGTAAATTCTTCCTTCATTGTAACACAGGAGTTATTCTATATTTATATATCATATCTTACAAAATTACTAAAAAATGTATGCATATTTGTTATTTTTCGTGAACTTTGTGTCCATGTCGAATGGCTGTCAATGTTCATGTCTATGCTACCAAAAATGAAAATCATATACAACAGAATGAGAAAATGTGGGCTGAGCTTTTTTCATGGTCTTTGCATTGTTAACTTTTTATTTAACTGAAAATACAATAAAAATTACAAAAAAGATGCACACAGGCCCAAGAACTGTAATTTCAATTTTATGTAACCTTAGTAATAATCCCCTACATATTCTTATTCATTGAATTCATTCTGATTCATAATTTCTGGATAAAAGTTAGGCAATATTAAGACCCATCAAGTAAGAGTTTGCAGTAAAGTTTGTTGCCATTTTTCATAATTGATTAGTATATACGTATTTGTTTTCTTTTGGCTTTAGAAAATTGACTTTTCATTCATTGGTATGGCCTGGGAATATATACACATGTACAAGAATTTTCATTTGCAGAATCATATAGCTTTTTGCTGAGAACCAGACAAAACAATATACTACTGGCAAATATTCTGTGGTAATTTCCAGTAAAAGTTTCCCTATGAAAACCATCTTAGAAGATCAGAAATGATATTTGATCTCTTGTAACAATTTTACATATGTACAACCAGTCCAATGAAATTCAAGTGAACTTAAGAGAAAATCATGTGAAAATTAATGTCAAATTTTTAGGGACATTTAACTGTATGTTGAATACAGGATACATACGAGGGTTGTTAGAAAAGTTCGCGGACAAGTTCTATTGTGAGCGCGCTATTTGCATGATACCAGTAAAACTCGGCAGACAAAAACTATACACATTTTCCAATAAATATGCAAATATTTGGTGTTTTCCGATAATCCATAAAAAATTTACTGCTATTTTATTTAGATAAAACACGCTTCACGGAGCATGTCACTTTTTCGCACATTTACATTACATTGACATGTTTTGGAAATTAAAAATTGCACTGTTGTAGGATACAAAGATTTATGATAATTTACCTGCCGCTACAATAATCATGAAACGTCATTTGGCGAAATTTTGAATTAAATTGGAGGGGTCATGACTGTTTTATCGCTTATTATAGATGACCAATGAGTAAAAACAAAGTCAAGAATGGCAACGTCATTTAACGTCTTGGAGCACCGCGTTAATAAAAATATATGTGTGCAGACAGGAAAATACCCAAAAGAGACTAAAATGTTCTAGATGCTGCTGGGAATTGCCTACATGTATTTAGGACAAAATTGTTCAAATGGTAGTAGCTTAATAAGAATGGAAGGAATGACATTTTTGATGATCAACTCTTGTGATACCCCAATACCCCGCTCATTGCATGGACGTTGCGCCTATGGATTTTGCATTGTTTCCATATACTATGTAGACATTGATTTTAAGATCTCACTAATATCCGATATGCCACGATAAGACATTTTAGAAAAAAGTAACATGTCTTTATATAGTTATTTAATTTTTAAGTAGGAAAAAAAACATGAAAAGTCTACAGAAATGAAAGATAATTAGAACTGTGAAAAGGCTTAACACGCTTGGAAACAGGTTGTCACGTCACCTAACGTTAAGCGATTGCTCCGTGAACTCTGTGACCGCACAGTAAAAATCATCGTATATTTTCAAACTTTTAGTAAATGGACTTGATTTTTTACATACTAATAAACAAAAGATAAGAATTTAATCAGACTTACGTCATTTTCCAAAATACATATTACATTTTCCGTAAATTAACGTGTCCGCGAACTTTTCTAACAACCCTCGTACACAGGCAACTTTGCCACATATGATCCACATATGTGTATCATATGTGAATCATATGATTGGTTTCATATGAGAATCATAAAAAAAAGGGCATCATATGTGAATCATATGAAGCAAATCATATGAGTCACATATGATTCACATATGTGAATCATATGAAAAGAATTTCATATGATTTGCACATGAAAAGTTTTAGTGTGTTTCAAGTCATTTACATATGAGAATCATATGAAATGGGCATCATATGTATATCATATGAAACATTTATGTGTTTTTTTTTTCATATTTATCAAAAGGAAATACACACTTGTACACATTGAAAATCAGGTATTTCTGCTTTAGATGAAATTTCAGTACATTCCAATGATCTGTTAAATATCTGTAAATATTTGATAATGCTTGCACAATTTTCCAAAAGTATCTTCATCAACAGAAATAACTAATATCACACAGTGCACACTTTAAACAAGAAAGTATACAAACAAGTCAGTAGCATTTATCGATACATGTATTTTACATATTCTAAAACGAGTACAAATTATTTGAAAGGATTTCAGCAAAATGATCAAGGAGATGAACATGTATACATGTACCAATGAATAACATAATTAGATCATGAACTTGTATAAAAATACTATATGACATGGAAGTGTCCTTAGCAAAATTGAAATATCTGCAACAACATTTGTCAATATATGTAATCTCTATTGTAAATTTATGACAAATCATAAGTAATTCAGATTACATGTACCTACAGCATATTTAACACAAGTCTGACTTGTCAAAGTCTGACAAAATTAAGTACATCCTTCTCATTCATATTTATTCCAGATATTTCCTAATTCTTTTCTTTCTCTGTCAACTTTTCCCATTTGTCCTCCCTCTGATCTTCCATCATCATATTGAAAATTCTTTGAACTGTACCCAAAATGCAAATCCACCAATGTCCTCTTTCTGAACAATTTGTTTGTGGCACAGAATAATCTCTAAAAATTATTTTTAAAATAATTAGCATTAATAATAATAACAAGAGGTCCATGGACCACATTGTTCACCTGAGCAAACAATGGCAAACTCACTTAACTCTGACACAAGTGGCTTTTGTGAAATGTGTGTCAATACAAAAAAAGTGCTGGAATAAATTGCAAAAGTATTTTTTTGATATTTGTTCCATACTGATCAAATTTACTCAAGATTCCCTCCTTAGGCCCCACTATTGTAGCAATGTAGAATTTGTTAAAAAGACTTAATTTTTCCTATACACAAGTATAAATTACTATGCAAAACTTTGCAACCCTTCAGGGGCCCCACTGGTGGTTTAGTGGTCATTGTTTCAACAAACTTGAAACAACACTGCATAGGGATGTTTGCAAAATAATATCACAAATTGTAGTGTGGTAGTTCTTGAAAAGCAGATTTTTAAAGACTTTACCCTATATAATCTATAGATTGAACTTTGAACCCCTACTGGTACCTTACTATTGGTCCTCTTTGCCAAGTTCAGTTGAAATTAGTCCAGTGGTTCTGGAGAAGAAGACATAAATGTGAAAAGTTTATGCCAACAACGATGATGATGGACAAAGGACAATTTTGATCAGAAAACTTCACGTGAGCCTTCGGCTCAGATGAGCTAAAAACAAGTACTTTCATTTAAAATGAAAGTACTTGTTTTTAGCTCATCTGAGCTGAAGGCTCAAGTGATTCTAAAGATAAATATGATTGGAAAAATTGTTTGTGACATCCAACAAACATGAACTAATTTTCTATCATTGATCATATTTACTAGCAAAGATGTCCTTCCAATAAACAAATATATATCTCAAAATTTTAACATTAAAGTTAAACATCAATATTTTTACAATTTAAAATGTTGACTCTTACTGTTTTCATACTAGCATCATACTAGCATCAGTGTGAAGTATTCCCTCTCTGGATTTGTTAGCATAATTGTAGGAGGAAGGAAACATTTTCATCGATAATTATGTAGAGACTTAATGGAGGGACCCTCTACATCAACTTCTTTGTTACCCATCAGCTAAAACATTTTTTTCTAAACAATTCAATTCACAATGTATTAGCTTAAATGGAATGCAGTGCAAAATTTTGTTTTGACAAGGTAATTCAATTTAGCAATAGACTTTGATACTTCTTAGGATGATATGTAACATATATAAATAAAATTTGTGCACACCTTTGCTCTGATCTGATTTCTGTAATATGTGAATTCAGTGGATCCAAAGCTAGACATAACTCCCATAACATTTCATGTCCAGCCAGCCTTCTTTGCCAGATTGCTGAGCATCTCCTGAATGAATAAAGCAATGCATTTTTCACTTATTTTTCTATACATCAAACACATACTAAGATTCTTCAAGAAAAAATGGTTCACTATTATACATATTGACTATAAACTTTATTAGTTTCATATAACATGACATACATGCTCAGTGCATCTACTTAAATGCTCAGTGCATCTACTTAAATGCACAATTCTTGCAAAATACATGTAGTTAGTTAGCATTTATATTCATCATACCTGTACTTCTGTATCCTCAAAAGAAATCCAGGGGTTGATGTTAAATCTTTTTTTAAGCCAATTGACATTCTCTCTGCAAATTTTTAATCTATATAAAAAAAATAATAGATATAATATATATAATCCATTTCTGCTTGATGCAGACCCCCAAATCATTAACCAAAGTACATGAAAATGTACACAATGTACTTTCAATGCACATGTAATAGTACCTTGAATGTCTGATTAAGCTAAAAGTCATTATCCCCCAGAAGATAATGTATAGTTTTATAGTTCTTCATAGTTTTTATAGCCAGCAAGTTCTATAATATATGACTTACATATTTTCATATGTTTTCATACTTATACATGTATATATATTTTATTAGTGTGCTGGATTTGTTCTATAGAAAAAGAGTTGGATTTATTTAGTTTTTGATATATGTTTAAGTCATTACTTATATATACTGTGATGATTAATGTATTTATTTATTTATTTTTACCTGCATTGTGATCATGCATCGTCTGCTAAACCAGCTTTGGGTTTAAATCGTCAGTCAAATCAGCTTTGTGTTCAATCGTCAGTCTAATCAGCTTTGGGGTTCTTTGAACAAAAAAAAAAAAAAAATAAAAATACAAAAACAGCACTGTGACACTGAACTCAGTAAATACATTATTTAAAACACGTTTCTCATTCATTTGATGAAAGAACCGAATGAATAACGATCTCAACAAACATTTTACGTGATCACTAGGTTTATCGGCTTTTTACGAACTGCATTAATTTAACAATTATATACAAGTGATGAGAGTACTAGAAAGTTTATACGGATCTGTTACCGTAATGAAATGATCTAAACACAATGAACTGGCCTTTAAAAAGTCTTTTAAAACGTATCCGAAATCACTTACTTTTTTCAACACCCAACTCTTCTGCTGCAGAAGTGACGTCAAACATGACGTACACTTTCATCTGATAAAAACCGAAACCGGTCCGTAAATAAAATGTGGAATGATTTTAATTTTACTCATAAAATAAAACCAACCATAACGGTTTTTGGATAAAATACAAATCAATTTATTCTTGATGAATTTTGTTTTTCAAGAAAACAAATTTTGAATTTTATGAAAGGATTTTTTTTTTGGGGGGGGGGGGGGGGTAACAGAGTACTTATTCCCTTTTTATCCAAGCTTCTTAAGGAAATGAACATCTTGATTCTTTTGAATAAATATACATTTAAAACACATCTTGATATATGTTATTGAAATTATTTTTTAATCATGCAGTCTACTTGTTAAAATATAACACCAACTTATTCATAAATAAATAAGCTTAATATGAAATTAGGCCTACTCAAGTGTTAACTGATTAACAGTGAATAAACGTATTTTTTATCTCATTGAATTAAAATAAAAATGAATTTTACCTGCTTATAACAAGAACAAATAAATAAACACACACAGATCTGTTTCATATGATTCTCATATGATAATTCTCAAAGTATGCATATGATTCTCATATGCAGAACTTTTCATATGTGTATCATATGTATATTGCTTCATATGATTTACATATGCGTATTCATATGACCCACATATGATTTGCCACATATGATACTCATATGATTGAATATACATATGATTCTCATATGATCCTCATATGATCTTCATATGAAAAGCAATGCATATGTGGATCATATGTGGCGAAATTGCCTACGTACATGTACCTGATACTTGAGAATGTCGATGTTGAAGTAGAAGGCTGTCTTGTTCTGTTCCCCTTGATATTTTAGATGCTCAATCAAAGCAGACATGTTGAAGGTTAGAAGTTTGTATCAGGTTCCTGGTGACTTGTATCCCTACGAGGACAAAGACACCTCTATCAGTGCTCATACACATCAATATATCACAACAACCAAATGACTCATACAAATCAATATATCACAATTTCAAGTAATTATCACTGGTCTCAAGAAATACACTCAGACCAAGGTGCCAAATTTGAAAGTCAGTTATTTCGTGAAATGAGCAAATTCCTGCAAATCAACAAAACGTGTACCACGTCTTATCATCTGCAATCTGATTGAATGATTGAAAGATTAAACAAGACCATCAAAGATGTACTATCTAAGTACATTTTAGTGAATCAAACGGACTGGGATAAATTCATAGATGGAATGTTACATGGAATGTAACAGCACTGTACATGAATCGACAGGATTAACGCCGTACAGAATGGTATTCGTGAGGAAATGTCTCTTCCAGTGCATCTAATAACAGAAAACTTGGATAGTGATGAAGAGCATTTGTTCAAAAATAAAGCGGAATATGTGTGTGATCTAGAAAAAAGTGTGCGAGATGTATCGAATTGTGAGAAATGTAACTAACCAAAGTTCTATGAGACAAAAACGTGTTTACGATCGGAATGTATGTTCTATCAATTAGGAAGTTGGAAATTTACTTCGCAGGAGCCAGCCCAAAGTTGCCATTGAATGTAAAACTAAATAAGCCCGAAAATGGACAGGACTTTGGATTGTTGTTAAAAGAATCAGTGATGTTTTATTTGAAATAAACCATTCAGAAAACTCGAAACCAGTAGTCGTACTTTCAGACAACTTCAAACTGTACCGAGGGAATAAACAATACTCGCCGAGATACAGCGCCGAATACACGAGTGACCAGCTGCAGAGAGCATCTGTTACGCATCGCCGCTCTTTAGTCAGCAGACGGAGTCCAAAACCTTTGAAAACGCCGCCAGTACATCTACCCGTCGCAGACGCCAGACATCAGTCATCAGCCGCCAGCCAATCAGATTCCGAATTTGAGGGACGATCGGAGAATGAGACGCCCCAAATACCCCAGACCCAGACAACCAGACACGGGAGAATTATAAAAAGACCGCTTCGTTACAGAAACAATCATTAGAGATATGCTTTGTGATATATGTGGACGAAAATTTTCAAGAACCAGCAATTTAAATTTACAGGCTTCTGATCTCGAGTGCTTAAAATGTAGTTTTTGCTAGCAGACATTTACCAGAATTTTTAATGTACGCAGACATTACAGTCTCGTGCATAAATTAGATGGACCTGCATTAAGTAGTGCTATGGATCGGAAACGCTATCCTGTGAGGAGACAAAGCTACGAGGAGGCGCGTAAACCGGTATAATGTGCTGAGAGACAGATGAGGAAGAATTCACATTGAGAGAGAGCAACAGAGGGGATCGTACCAACTGTCCTCGATAAGAGCGTTGCTCTTCATGAGCAACCTACTTTATATATGGGGGGTTAAAAGTTTCTGGGCAGAGAGAGTTTTTGGTCAGTAGTCAGTTTTGTTGTCATTTAATATACAGATAGTGCTGTTCGAGGATATCTTACTTTGTTATTTTTGATGGATTATTAAAACTTGATATCATGTAAATAAATTGTGAAAGGATAACCAGGTGTATTCACTTACACAACAACATTTTGGTGGGGATTCAAGGATTTATTATTGACTTAATTCTGCCATTAAAAAAATTAGTATGCCGTTTAGCGCTCGACGGCGCTTCATATAAAGTTGAAAAGTTGTAAGTTTTTATGTTGTTGAATTTGGTAAAACTTTGTGATTTCAAATGTTCCAAAAATTCCTTGGAATTTTAATTCCTTGGAATTTTTATTAATCACATCTGATTTCACCACTTCTCGAATATATTGTTGCACAGTACTCTTGAAGTTTCTCCTTAACTACAGTTAATATCTTAGTGAGCAGTAAAGAAAGAGGCCTGGTAGAACGTTTACTGAAACTAGCTATGTATCTTTGTAAGGATTTTTATTAAGTTTCGGAATCCAACATAGATATGGTAATTCATTTTGGTTGTTGGGAATATTACAAATCTGAAACCTTTGTTTAGTGCCATTATTTAAAAACTAGAGAATGTATTAAATTAATTCTACCGTGTTTTTATGTACAGGGTTTGCATGTTTCACACTGAGGTGCCTCATTAAATTGCCTTTTCGCAAAGGCGTACTCTTTATGGATCTTGACAATTTTTTGAATATACATAACGGAAACATTCCTTATATTGAGAAGTGCTGCTGCTTTCCAGAAATCAAGAGCGTTACTTAATAAATACATAAAATACTTGGTAAAGGTCACATGTATTTCGACTACTAATTAAAAGCGAATTCTGTTTAAAGCAGCCGCACTTTCCATAATCTAAAAGTTATGTAGAAACAATTTAGTACTTAAATTTTTAATTTTAACTAGGATATGCCCTTGCGATATTGAATATTTTTATGAGCTACATACAGTATAATTATATACATTTATCACGTGACTGTCAAATAACGTGACCAAACCAAATTCAGTACTCATTCTTTTTTCAAAATAATGATATTTAGTGAAATACATGTAAAAAAAAAAAAAAGAGTACGTTTATGTAATTTCAGTGATATCACAATAATTAAGGCCCTTTAATTCTAATTAATGCTAAGTAATTGCATCAAAATTTGATAAAATATATGTGACAGTGTCCAAACTATTGTTTTCAAAGAAATAAATTTTTCTCAGGAAAAAATTGCCTTACTCTGTTAAGATTTGTTATGCTGATGCTTCAAACTCTTTGAAAATGTGTACTGGGAAAGGTTTACTCCCCTTGTGTTTAGGTCTCTCTACCTAAATGAATAAGAGTCAAATAAAAGAAATATGGTGAGGTTTGAAAATGACATACATCAATAAACTTATTTAGAGAAGAATTAGACTAAATTACATATTTCTGAAAATTGGTGTTTTCTTGAAGGTGGTAGAGGATAGTTTTTTTATGCCAAACATGTGCCGAGGGGGTACAGATATACATGCGATCCATAGAAACATGTACATGGGAACAGTTTTCCAGGGGCTAATTAATTACACTTCATATGCCCATGGCTCACAAATTATGTCAACAAATTACATGTAATCTGCCTATTAGAGTGTACATGTACCAAAAATTCACTTGGGGACTCCCCAAATTTTGGCTTGTTTTTCCAAGATTTGGGTCTCAGTCGCACCCATACAACCCACCCCCAGGCCCGAGCGAGCAGGATAAAACACCCAATAGTCTGTAAATCAATGCATGCTCTAATGAAAATTCACCAATTGATATGGGGCCATTCACCTTCCCTCTGAGATACACACCTTCTTCTAAGGCCTACTGGGCTTTTCAGCTGAATTTTCTCTGCAACTGACCACGTGTCTTAGTTTCGCATTTACAACTCTGTATATGATAAGTGTCATAGTGACACCTACATGTTGCACATCATTTTTTTCAGCAAGCACTCTGCTACACTGCATATGTGTCCCATAATTATTCTAATCATTTTTCTACATAAAATATCACATTAAACAGGGGATATCTTAATTTTTTAAGAAATTTGACCGGGTCTTTAGTGCGAAACTATCCCCTGCCACCTTTCCGCTGTGTGTTCTTTGTCATGATCAATCCTTCGATCCACCCAGCACAGGTTTGGTGGCTTTAATACTGTTACATTTATACTGATTATACAAAAATATTCAATGATATGACGCATCAATCATATTCTTTATTAATTATAAGATGATAACAAACATCTAATTAGACATTCATTTCTTAGATTTTAGATGCCTTTATGAACTCAAACTTTTTATACTGAAATTCATTTTTTTTTCTCATAAATCAGTAATACTCAACTATTCTCAAAAGAGGTTAATATTATAAAAAAAAAATCAATATTAAGAAATGTGATTTTTTTTCTTCATTTTTATGTCCAAACAAAACGAAGCATGAAGAAAGACACAGATATAATTTCTATTGAGTAGTGAAGATAACGAACAACAATCATGCTCAAATGTTCAGTCAAGTAATATATATGTATATTGTGCATGTTCTTAGCACAGCAAAGCAATGACGGAACCATGGTGCCATGAAGGAATTCCCTGTATTCTCATTTGTGTAGCTGTAAGTATTTTGTGATGTGGTTCTTGTCTGAGAGATTGTAGGTATGAGTATAGAGTAGCCTTGAGGTTCCCTGTCACCTGTTGACAGATCCCCAGAATCTGCCAGGATATGTCTCTGAATTGGTTTGTGCTCTCGTTGTTTCTACATTGTATGTGTAGCACAAGATCTCTAGATCTTGTTTGAGAGATTGTTGGTAGGAATATAGGGCTCCCTGGCTGTCTCCTTTGATCTGTTGACAGATACCCAGTATCTGCCATGTTATATATTATTCTTATAAATATGTCTTTAAACAACAATTTAACTGAAATAAAGTCTGTACATCAATATAACAATTCTGTGAATTGTAGCAGTTTGTATTTCATGAAGTGGATTTTCTCTGAGTGATTGTTGGTAGGAGTATAGAGCAGCCTGGAGGTTCCCTGTCACCTCTTGACAGATTCCTAGAATCTGCCACGATATGTCTCTGTATCGTGAAGGTATACGCCATCCTTGGTCATAGTGAACTAGGGTGTTTAGATCATTTAGCGCTCTTTGTGCTCCAATTGTATCAACATGTCTGTAGCACAAGATCTCTAGCATGTATAACAGTATAAAGGGTGGGACATATAGATCATTTCCATTGTTCTGTAGAGCACACTTTTGTTCTCGTATCAATTCACGGATGTAAGATATGTCATTGTCAAGTTTAATAGTTTCTGATACAGCCTGTCTCATCTTTGTAGACCAGGACTGTCCCCTTACAGCTTCAGTATATATCTCTGTATCAACTTTTGACTCATAAATCACATATGGCTGTGCTAAGTTGACCTTGATCTTCTCTATAATAGATAAAGCTTTCATGTATCTAAGTGTCTCGTAATTATACATGGCTATGTACAGCATGTCAGTAATATAACCAAACTTGGCTGCTAATTTCAGCATATGACAGGACAATATGTCAGCTCTATACCTCAGTTTGTTTTTATATGTGCGAGTTTCTATGTGTATTACAAAAGCTGTTTTCTGAAGGACAGAAGATGTAAGCTTCTGTAGCATAATGACTTGACACTGTGTCAGCAAGAGTAAATCTATTATCTGTTCTATGGTGTTCAAATTACTCATACAGTCTTGCAGCGTTATCGAGGATAGTGTATCACAGAAATTTATTTCTTGAAATAGGTGTACGTCAAACTCAGCCTCAGAAATCAGAGTATGTTCATCTGTACAGATGGAGAGTCTGGGGTTAAGAAGGACATGTATAATATAAGACCTAATAGAGGGAATGTCTAGCAGGAATGCTATACCCTTCTCGTATAAACAATACAGTCTAATAAATAGTTGATGTTGTGCTTCGCCATGAATTTTACTCAGAAACATGTTGTTTTCTGGAATGAAAAAGTTAGGACAGATCCCCTCATACACCCATTTGAAAATGAGTTTAAAACAGACCCAGAAACACCCCAGGAGATTTTGTGGACACCAGTGAGGTATTGTATTTTGCTGAATCACCCAGAAAACTGCTGTTTTCATGTGATAAGAACACAGTAATTTATCATCATCACCTAGTCCTTTGTTAATTATTTCCGTTAAAAATAATTTAAGCAAACCATAAGTTAAGAACTGACAGTGGTTCATCACATGCATAAGTTTTTGCTCTGCTTGAGAGAAAGAAATTCTCCATTCAAGGTCTTCATGATTTCCTAGCCTATGTCCAATTGCTACAAAGTGACATCCATTTTTTACTATGTCATCAACAACATGAGGCTGGGGCCATGAGTGACATCTTTCTATCCATGAGGAGGCAGATGGAGGCCAAAAGTTACTAACAAAAGAGTGGGCATGGTCATAATTTATTGGTCCAAGAGTTCCGCTGGCGCAGGGTCCATTTAGAGTGGAATCTGGAACTACTTCTGTGCGCATAATCTCTCTGTACCGAGAGCTAGATACATAATTCATTATAACACAAGCTCTCGGAATGTCCACGTTTGGTGTCAGTAAAAATAACAAAGTGTATCCTGGTGGACTATCGGAACAGTCACAGAGGATCAGTGTTTGTCTGTGTGTATTGTAATACTGAGACTGAGATAATTCCCAGATCACACGGTGATTATTCTGCCAGAACATAACGTCTACATCTGATCCTTCAAGTCTGAATCCTTCTCTACGACTTCCATTTTCCATCTTTCTCGTATTACTTTTTGTTGCTTGACTATGAATCATTTCACTGATGTCCACCAAATCTCTCCTCATGGCCACCAGTTCTGAGGTCCCCACTTTACGACACAGTCCCACAAACACCGACTCTGATATACGTTGTATGGCAATCTCACTAGTAATGATAAAAAGAAATTTAATATATCTCACAGATTGTCACTTTTGTTGATCATTTATCATAATTGAAACTTTTATTTATATTGTACCAGTAATATTTCCAATGAATCCACTCTTTATTTAAAGATTGCTCACAAGTATCATTTGCTCTAAACTTATCATTAATTTTTAAAGATATATGATTTGAAGAAATGAAATAAATAAGATTGAATGTATAATATGTAAACAATGTCAAAATAGTCAATAATTTTTTTTTATTCAAAACCAGTAGGATTTTAAGAGTAATATTAAAGTTTATAAAACTTACATTTGTGAGCTTCTAATGGAGTCCATTTTAATGCGTACTTGAGATCTGAAAATTTTCAGGCGCTTTAAATAGTATAGAAAAACCACAATGCAACCTTTATGTGTCATTGTAAAAAAATAATCCCTTCAGTTCACTCGACCGACTACAAATAACAGAGTCTCGTGATAACAACAGCACCATGTCACAGTGTATACATTCAAAGTTTATCAAGAGTTCCAGTTCCTTGCACATTTACGCACATGGTAAACTTTATCATTTAATAATTAACAATAAATGACTGCCTTAAGAATAGATTTTTTCGACCAGTATCATTCTCCTTCAGATCCATGAGTAGTAAATAATCAAGAGAAAGTAAAAATTATATGCAGTCATTAAAAATCATTTCAAGTACCACTAGGCCAGACGATAGGCCCATGGTCAATTTGGCCCTACTATTCTGCATCAGATTTTTCCCCCAACGTACATGTATTCCTATGCAAAATTTTGATCGACTTTTTTGGCCTCACCCTATACACAGGGGCCCTGAATTTAACAAAAAAGAATCTTTCAAATTAATATGATTCACCATAGCTGTGCAGTTCTTGAGTTGAGGAGTATTAAAGATTTTCCCCAATGTAAACCCTATTGTGGCTCCACCCTACCCCCCGGGGACCATGTTTTGAACAATTAACAATCTACACTACCTCAGAAAGCTTCCACCTAAGTTTCAGCTTTTTTTGGTGCAGCAGTACTTGACATGCTTGAGGAGAAGATTGTTCAAGATTTTTCCTATATATATTTTTCAATGTAAAATTTTGATTCCCTACAATGACCTTCCCTTTTCCCAGGGGACCATGATCTTGATAATTTACAATCTATACTACCTAAGAAAGCTTTCCTCTAAATTTAATCTATTCTGGCCCAATGGTTCTTGAGAAGAAGATATTTAAAGATTTTTTCCTATATATTTCAATATAAAACTTTGATTCCCTGTTGTGGCTCCATCCTATCCCCAGGGGTCATGATTTGAACAATCTAGAATCAACATATCCCAGGAAGCTTCCGCTTAAGTTTCAGCTTTTCTGGCTCAGTGGTTCTTAAGAAGATGATTTTTCAAGATTTTTAATATCTATATTTGTCATTGTAAAACTTTGATCCCCTATTGTGACTTCACTCTAACCCCGGAGGTAATGATTTGAAGAATTTAGGATCTACACCACCTCATAAGTTTCAGCTTTTCTGACCCAGTTGTTCTTGAGATTTTTTAATGACCTCACCCTATTTTTGCCTTTTCTTGATTATTTTCCCATGGAAGGGGGCTTGGTCCTTCATTTCAACAATTAAGAATCTCCATTATCCAGGGACGCCTTATATCAACTTAAGTAAATATTGGCCCAGTAATTCTTGAGAAGAAGTTGAAAATATGGAAAGTTTAGAGACGGATGGACAGACGGACAGCTAGACGGACGGCGGACAACGGGTGATCACAAAGGCGACTTGATTTTCCATCTAAGATTAGTTTAAAAGAGGAAAACTCTGTCACTTTGATGACAATTTTAAATGGTCTATTGAAAAGATGGAGGAAAATCCATATTTGGATTCTTCGACACCAGAATACAGGCTCGGAGCCTTCGATTCAGGTGAGCTAAATATGCATCATTGATTTTGGAAAAAAAATTGTCTCTCTGTGAAGTCACAAAATATTAACCTAAAGGTTTTCCGCTATGCTTTTAAATACAGTTATTAATTGTACGAATCATGTTCAATCTTAACTTAACTCGTTTTTATACAGAATAAACTTGTTGAGCATCTATTTTCACATATTTCCTTGATATAAACATTCTACTACACATTATATCAAAAGGCGTGAGTCTTAGAGGACCTACACTCGATATTTTCTAATCAAATTATTTACGCAAAATACTAGATATTTTCTTACAAAGTCATTGACATGTTGAATATATGAAACTTTCTGATTTCATATCTAACTTAAGACATGCAGTGGATGAAAATGTCTAATGCATTGAAGTCTACATATATCCTTCTGGCTTAAGAACACAATTTGAAATTTTACCATCAGACTTTGATTTTGGGGGCAGATATTAGCCTTTACTGAATATAGCCTTTTAGGAAAGCGTTGAAAAAAAAAATTTCGGACAAATAACGATCACGAAAGATAACACACATTCACAGAAAATTCAACTGGTATCAGAATAAATTTCTTTAATTTTTTGACTAAATTTCTGAATAATCAAATGCAAACACTATACATGTTAACGTACTGAAGATATAGAGGGGAGATTCAGACCTTAAAAGAGGTAGCATTGTGCGCGTTGTTTTACGCATGGATTCAAGCTCAATAGTGTATTAGAACTATATATTTGAAGCAAAGCACACACAGACCCTTAAAAACATCAGAGGTGCGATAAGGTGCTGTGGAGGAGTAAGCATTTACTGTCGACCGGTCACACCCCTATGTGCTCATTGTCATGATCGGGCAAGTGAAAAAATCAATTTGTAGATAATGGCCTAAAAATTGGTATGAAAAACGTCAGTTAACATTCGACCTAACAATAGACTGTATTTGCTGCGTGTGATACAGTCATTGTATCGACCATAAAATTTGCGAAATGTTGACTTTAAATGGTATAATCTTCATATGGTACCAACTGTGCTTTTTGTGTCCAGACACTTCATACTAAATGAAAGCTACAGCAGAACAAACGCTAGCCATCACTGGTTTCTATTATCATTCAATCACTTAATACTGAACTTCTGCTACTACACAACCAATCCTAATCAGCATTGGTCCTACAATCATCCAGTAACCACGACCTAAACTTATACTACTGTAGAGTAAACCCTAGCCAAAATGGCTTCTATATCAACCAGTCTCTGAAATCCTTTTCACAAAAAATCTTACGACTAAGACAAAAATTTTCTTTTTCTCCAAAAGGTATCTCAGCTGTTGTAGGTCACAAAGAATCTTATTATTCTAATAAACTGGATTATATTTTAAATAATATCTGGGAAAATAGTAAATATCTTTATTATACAAAATATTATGTAGTGGTCAAATTTTTATCTTAGTCGTAAGATTCTTTGTGAAAAAGGCCACAGACTCTTCATCCTGAATTATTGCCACAGCAGAGCCTACCCTGACCAGCATTGGGTTCTACGACCATTCAGTCACTTCGTACTCAATCATTGCTACTGCAGAACATTGGGTTCTACGACCATTCAGTGACTTTGTAATCAATCATAGCTACTGCAGAACATTGGGTTCTACGACCATTCAGTCACTTCGTACTCAATCATAGCTACTGCAGAACACTAGGTTCTACGACCATTCAGTAACTTTGTACTCAATCATAGCTACTGCAGAACATTGGGTTCTACGACCATTCAGTCACTTCATACTCAATCATAGCTACTGCAGAACATTGGGTTGTACGACAATTCAGTCACTTTGAAATCAATCATAGTTACTGCAGAACATTGCGTTCTACGATCATTCAGTCACTTCGTACTCAATCATAGCTACTGCAGAACATTGGGTTCTACGACCATTCAGTCACTTCATACTCAATCATAGCTACTGCAGAACACTAGGTTCTATAATCATTCAGTAACTTCATACTCAATCACAGCTACTGCAGAACATTGGGTTCTACGGCTATTCAGTCACTTTCGTACTCAATCATAGCTACTGCAGAACATTGGGTTCTACAATCATTCAATCACTTCAAACTCAATCATAGACACTGCAGTACATTGGGTTCTACGACCATTCAGTCACTTCATACTCAATAATAGCTACTGCAGATCACTGGGTTCTACGACCATTCAGTCACTTCGTACTCAATCATAGCTACTGCAGAACATTGGGTTCTACGACCATTCGTGACATTTGTGATAACTATGGAGATGTAGAAAATATAATACACCTTTTATTTAACTGTAATGACACAAATTCAATATGGCTTAAAATAAGTTCAATTGTAGGTTTCAAGATAAATTGGAAGCATATTGTAATAGGTTTTTATGAAAATACAGATTTTACTAATGGTATGAATATATCAATATCCTTCATTGCTTTAAAAAAAAATAAATATAAGATATAAGATGAAGTGTAAGTAACTATTGTAAATTGATAATACGTCATCGATATATCGAAATGTCGAGTTGAAGGCCACAGAAAGCGTTTTCTTCCTCTCATGTAGAAGTTTTTGATTAAATTCTGCTTCATATGAATACAATGTGTGATTATCTAACAACAATTTTTTCCATCCAAAATATCAATTTTTATTCTATATCATAGCGAAATACTCCCTAAATATGTTATTTTTTTATAAATGCCATAGAGTTAGGAAATAAAGTTCAAATTTTCATGAATGTTGCAGGATAACCTGCTCGGTCTTGAAATGTTGTTTGAAATATAAAAGCCGAGGCGTTAGCAAAACATTTTTAAAAATAATGAAATTTAGAGTAGAGGGTCATTACTCCTTCAGGCAGGTTCCCATTCGGCATATTTTGCTTAAAGATTTTTTTCATTGAATCGTTTGAAAAATATAGGTAATCAAAGATTACGAAGCTCACCTCGACGAATGTTATCTTTAAAGGGTTTTCTATCACGTATCTAAATTCCTTAAAAATGAAACACTATTATATTCTTGAAACATATAACTATCGTTTAATTATGAAATAATGTTGAAAACAGCCGTAATTAGACGATAAAACGCCAATAATATAGGGTCCTCGTAGTAAGAATCTCCACTAATTAGATAGGGGTCACGTGGTACTGAAACGTCATAGGTGTCAATGGTCAATAGAACTCGTAAGGCTTATCGTAAGAAAAAATATATTGAATAGATTTTTACGTTAAATAAATAGAAAACACAATATGGCCGGTTGAAATTTTGACATCGACTATATTCCTTTGGTTATGGACGGTCAATCTTTTATGTGTGAACGTCTAGCAGAGAGAAATAACCAGAAAATATGCCGACAATAGGAGAGGACACCGAAGAAGAAACCGTTGACAACTCGGGACTTC